AAAATCAGTGAATTTGCAATAGCTACAAAAAGAAAGTATTCCTGACTTATCCTCCTGACAAAGAAGGATGCATCTCTTTGGAGATTATGAAAATAACATAACCCTTATGAAAATAACAACTTCATGAGCAGGTGCCCATTGTGTTACGTCTTTAACTCTAGATGGAAAACAAAGTCAGTATCTCGGAGCACTTCCCATAAGCATTAAAATGAAAACAACTGCACTGCAAATGGTTCTGCAAGAAGTATAAGACCTGTTATTTCATTATGCATGGTCTGCTGGTTATTTAGAGATCCCGGTGCACTGTAGCATGTGTGGCTAACAACACCCACAAAATCACATCTGTAAGTGTAAGTTTAATGGCAAATAAAAGCCTAGGCTAGACTGCGCGCAACTAAGGTAAGCACAATTGCTTATCTCATCGCCAGGACATGTATCATTGTGCCACATTCATAATCTCCACGTCAGGAATAATGAAGCAGTAGTACAAAAAAGACTCAGACATAATAAGTTTCTATAGATATGTTTTTAAATGGTCACTGCCTTCTGTTTCTGTTTTAAATCCATACACAAACCCAAGGAGTTAATTGCTTGTAGAAACATAATAGCAGGCATACAAGGAACGTGATTCTTAGTGAATAAAGTTGTGCCAGTGCTTGATCAGTGTTTTCAATGAGAGAACAATAAGTGATTGCACATATATTGCCATATGCTTTGCTGTATATGCTGTGGTTAAAATGCCATAGGATAGAATTTCTATTTCCTCACCCCATGCTTGAGTTAGCGGGAATTTGGTGAGTCGTCTCCTCTCAGGCAGAGAGACTGGAGGTTGTGTCCTCCTAGAAATTTGCCTTATTGAGGCAAAATCTTTCTGATTTATGAAGGAGAAGAAAACAATTCTTAAAAGCAAGCTACCGTTCTGATGAAGATACAGGAGGAGGAAAGCAGAATTTGAAAGTTAAACACTCATTTAAATACTTAGAGAAGTGCAGGGTGGGCTATAGAGAGAAGATAGGACTTTCAAACTTCCACAGGGTAGATTTTCTGACCAGGACAGGCCATTCCAGCTCTTCCTGGAGGATAATCTTTTTCTACAATTTTGTATCTTGTGAAGATGACTCTCTTTCATTTGGGCAGCATAGGTGGCCCCTCTGAAAACACCTCAGCCAGGTCTGCTTGAGCTGGAAGGCAGGTTGCATCTGCCTTAAGAAACATAAATGCACTTCAAAACTGGCTGAAGATGAGAAGTAGCCATGTGCATGTGGAGAGCTGGCAGTGATGTGGAGATGGCAGGACAAGGAGAAGGACACTATGCTTTTAACTCAGCTGGCTAGGCAGGGATGTGGGAACACCTGCAATGATGCTTTCTGTGGTCCTGCCCAGGTAGCTCTGCAGCTGAAATGAGTGGTGGCAGACGTCTGCACACCCTCAGCACCAGTAGGACCCAACATCTGATGGCAGTGGACTGCAGAGAAGAATGGGAATAGAAGAAGAGAGAGACGGGGCAAATTCCAGAAGCACAAGTTGAGTCACACAGGAGAGAGAAATGGCATTTTTCAGAGCAAATAGCAGATAGAAATTGCTGAGGAAGGAAAAAGGGAATGGGGCTAGAGTGAGCCGGAGTGAATTAAAAAATATAGAAGAAAAGATAAAAAGTTAATTGGCAAAGATGACACAACTTTTAGATAAAAAAAATGTGTAGATGAGCTTTTTATTCACATGCATTTAAAACTTGGCATTTGCCACTTCAAGTGCTAGCAGTTGTCTTTTTTGTCTCACACTTCAAACAGGTAGCATTCAGTTGAATCTATCAGAGTGGAAAGATGTGTGACCTCCTTGTTTCACAACGCAGGGATTTAGTATCTCCTGCCTACAGCCGAGTTACTGCCGCTTTCATAATACCCAAGAGAAAGAGAATGTCATCTTTATTATTTTACTTTTCTGCCATTTTTTTATATCGAGGTAGTTTCTGATCACCCTGCTATGAAGCAGTGGTTCTGTTGGTTGGTTGTTTTTTTTTTAAAAAAAAAAAGCAACTGCTATTTCTGTCCAAAGACTACCTCCTTTTTTTTCCACTTTTAAAGAAACCTAGATGACATCATCCCTTCCAAAACGGATGAGATTTAATACCATTTTCAGAGTAGGACTAATGAAAACGATTTTTTTCTCATGTTTCAAAAGACGGTTTTGCTTTACTTGCAGTGTGCATTTTCTGTGTGCCCATGTTCTTGCAGTGTACCAACAGTCTGCCCTTGAACCAGCAATCTTCTTTATTATAGGACTGTCATTTTCAGTACAAGTACATAGTCCCACTGTTGCCTGTTTGTATTTTCTTAATTCCCAGAATATTGTACAGACACCAGAAAGCTTCTGGGCATCTCTAATGTAGATCTCAATAGATACTGTAATTTTATGTTCATCTTTCAGCATCAGCTCAGGTTGCTACAGATAGCTCATTTGGAACTGCTTCACTGGGCTACCTATATACAAACCAGCCTCTATACCCATCGTTTCAGAGTTCTTCGAAATGGCTTTGCTATATTAATTTCATCAGTTCAGCTCTACATTGTTATGAATTTTTCTACTTTTATTTGTAAAAGCAGAAATGTTCGGTTGCCGTCGGCTTCAGGAACAGGTGATTTCTGTGGAACTTCTACTATCTCAGCACACGCTTTGTCTGTGAGTTTAAGTGCTGTCAAACTATGCAGCAGGTTGTAAATTTTAGCCTTTTTTATGCTCTGTAAAGCTCATCTTCCTTTTTTTTGCCAGATGTAATATCAGCTATTATATAGTATTCCAGTCCCCCACTAGGAGTGAGGGATGCTGTGAGGCTGAAGTATAAATCAGACCACTTTTTCCCCAGGCTTTTTGGCTGTCTTTTGCAGGTATTTTAGTTATTGTTATTAAACTAAAGGGACCCTGAAAACAGGTACTGAATTAAAGTTGGAATTATTTTAAAGTAACATTCTCCTGTAAGTTTTTTACCAGAATGTATGAAATCTGACAAAAATCTTCAAGTCAGTGCAGGATCTCTCTCATGTGCCTCAGTCACCATGGGTACGCTTCCCCAGGACTTGCTATTTGGAAGCAAGTAGCAGTAGTGTGGTTTTCAGGAGGACAAAATAGGAGGGAGGGGAGAGGGATGAATAGATGTGAGCAACTCCCCAGTTCCCTATGCCTGAGTAGGATCCTGTGGACAGCGTTTGCACAAGGTCATGTGAAGAGATGCGAGAGAGCTGTCATTTTCCCAGTCAAAGAGATAAAAGAGGAAGGATGACTAGCCCTGGGAGAGTTACTGATGGACAGCTCCTACCTGATCATATCATGTAGGGTTTGCAGCCTGCTTAAGGCATGTTCTTGGTGCCCTGTCTTTCTTTGGTGTTTGACACAATGACAGGTCATTGCTTTAAGAGCAGGGCGTGATGGCTGAAGAAGAAAATTCAGGATTTTTGTCAGACTGTGCATACCAAAGGTTTGTCTGCTTATTTCCTTTCACCTCCCTTGTCCTTGCCCCCACTGCTCCACCAGGCACTCACCTGCAGATGAGGTGTCTGCACGAGATGTGTCCCTGCTCTCCCTCAGTCACTGGGATGACACAGCAGCTCTAGGGCTCAGACGTGGTCTCTGAGGGAAATGCAACACACCAACCACCCAGGCCACCCAGTGTGCTTTGCCTACTGAACCAGTTTTGGCTAAACTGAGGGTAATGTCTGTATCTTCCTATTTAATCTTCAAAAGTTCATGGGCACTTGAGGATTGGTTCAAGCTTTCTTACTCGTGTGCCACGTTTGGAAGTATATGATGTTAAACCTAATGATGTCCTGTGGAGAGAGCTGTAGCATAGCCTGTTAAGAGCATGGGAGCCCTTCTCAAAAATTGACTTGATCCTGTAAGATATTAATTGCTCTCAGGCTTAAGTTGGGCTGGAGGGAGGTTGCTGTTTTTCACAAGGCACTCAGCACCTCACAGGACTGTGCTTTTTTACTCCACCATGTGATTATAATTGAAAAGGATAAGTGAGTGGGAGTGTCTTGTTCCTACATCTCCAACATCCTGTAGTTTTACACCGGTATTTATAGTTCCAAATTTGTCCATGCTACAGTAATGCTCCTGAGCCGCTCATCTCCTTGTATAGAAGCTAATCAGTACAGAAGTATTACTGATACCTAACCCCTTCTCTGACCTTACAAAGGAAGAAGGAATTCAGCTCCTGAAAGCTGTAAAATAAAAAGCAGGACTACAGCACTGACCAACAGCAAGGAAACTTGCATTTAATTCACTTATCAGACCAAGCTGATTCTTGTTAAAGAAGTTACTGTAAAAGATTCCTCTTCCACTCAGGTTCTGTCACGAGGCTGCTGACCAAAACTGTGTGTTTGGTCTGGGGACTCATGGTGAGAGAGAGGAACCAGGGTGCAACTGCATGCAAATACAAGATACCACACAGCATGTTCATAATAAGAAGTGCCTCAAGCAGGAGTCCAAAGGGCTCTGTCTTTAGAAAGGCTTAATCCACCTACAATGGAGAGAATGTAATAATGGGCATGTCTGTTTGTACTCTCAACCTTTTCCTTCCTTATTTACAGCGTAAATTGTAGCTATTCCTTACAGTCAATCCAGGATTAGACTTTTACGTGTTGATAATGGTTTGCATACAATTCAAAGTCAAGCACTTTGAGGATCTCCTCATTTTTCTTTTTCTAATACGCATGTTTGTAGGCAGTGGGAGAGTCTAGATTTTCATTAACTATAATTTGAGCGTGACTCCCTACTTCTACTTTAGCCATGTTCTGAAATCCCATCTGGTTTAGAACTGGGCATTAAAGGTAATCTCACATGAGTACAGATAGTCACTAAATAAAAATAGAAACTTACGCTGTAAGAGGTTTACCGTGGCCATTTAAATGCAGTATTTGTATGAGTTCTGGTCATGAGCAAGACTCTGAACCTCAGGGATATAAATGTGAATAGGAAAAAAGAGACACTTTCTGCGTAGTAACATGGGCGCCAAAGAATCATTACCAGGTGATGGCCCTATCCCAGAGATGCACCATTATTACAGCAAATTTATGAGAGAATGCCCATCTGGGCAACTTAGTCTGCATGAATTCAAGCACCTCCTGGGTCTGCAAGGGCTGGATCCACAGGGAGATATATACATTAAACGAGTGTTCGATATCTTTGACCTGAACCAGGTAAACTTTCTTTTCTTTATTTCTTTAATCTCATACTGTTGCTTTGTTTGTGAGTTGTAGCCTGCAGGCTCTTCTTTGTGCTCTGCTCACAAAACTGCTGCTGTGGACAGGATTGCCCTTATGGTGCACTAGAGGTGAAGAAGTGGGACTGTGCTTTGAGGGCTTCGAGTAGGACTGTTGTTAGTACTTTCCAGGGGCACTTAAAAAATGTCAAGAAACAATTCTGAAAATGAGACATAATTTGCAGTTCACTGGTTATTCTTCCATCCTTTGCTTGTCCTGCATGTGTATGTAAGCATATGAAAAGATTGGTATGCTCAAAAACGAAGTTAATATGTTTTTACAGCAATGTTAGGCAGAGAGGAAAATATGGTCTTCACTTAACCAATGATGAAGGGCAGCGTAGATAAAGAGATTTGTCCAGAAAACTGTATTGAACCTGTGTCAGAGAGGAAAATGTAACTCGGATGAGATCATAGAGTGCCAAAATCACAAGACCAAACAGACTGCCAAATGAAGAGGTGAAGCAGCTTCTCCAGGCTAGATTTCTCATTTGCCAACCCTGCTACTGCAATAACTGCTTGTGATTGTAATCAGCTCTCCATAATGTAGCTGGCTGCCAGACAGACAATATGCATTTTCCTTAGGTGTGCAGACGAGGCCAAAGCCATGGCCACCTGGTACTTGTGTGTAGCATCTTCCACTGGGTGTAGAAGACCTGGTGGTTGTGGAGGGAGAGGGCAAAAGATATCAGAGAATCTAACAACTGACAGACTGGCACACAACTGTGGGTTGTTTTCTAGGTCTATCTCGAGCGCTGCCTCATGATTGTAAGGTCCTGGAACTGTCTACCTTGAGCTCTCCACTAATTGCAATGTTGGAGTGTCTCAGAATTCTGGTTGTCAGCACATGGTCTGCAGAATTGTGAGACCTTCAGATTCTGGATTAATGTAAAAGTGGGGAGAGCGGAATAAAAGCAGGTTCAGGAAGAGCATTTGCTCACCTTTAGTTGCTGTGGCAGTGGCCACACACACTTAAAACAAAATGGGAAGCCCCTTCTAATTGTTGCTTCTCTGACTGGCGTTTCAGAGTTGTGTCACCCGGCTCTGCAGGCCGTCATCACTCTCATACATAAAGCCGTCAAGTTGCCAGATAGCAAACCAACTTTTACCATAAGAAGCAGAGGGTAGATGCTTGGGGGGGACTCAATACATGTGTTTTAAACATAGAGGGACAGTATGTATAATGTAGAGGACAAAGAGGCAGGAGGAGCTGCACCAAGATTGTCAGATGGAGAACATGTTATCTTTTCAGCATGGCTTTCAGGATCACCATCCTGAAAGATCTCACCTGCTTCATCTGTGTGACCGAGCTTCCTCTTTTACCAAGGACTTTTTTGCTGCATCTTTTTGAACTGTACCTTATCATTGTCTTCATCCTCATCTTCCTCAGATGAACCAAGATCTAGCAAGGCTAAAGGATGGGAAAACAGGGTAATGGCCAGGAATTCAGTCTCACAGAAAAATTGCTTCATCACCTACCATATTGCTAACCATCCCACCTTTCACAAACACATCCTTGGGGGACAGCAGGGTATGGCTGTATAGCCAACACGAGAGAAAACATTTCACCCTACTGTCTTCTCCAATGTCTATTTTATAATGCTCAGTCACAGATACCAGACCAATGAGGGATAACCTGCTTGATTACAGCAAATTGGGTGGTTGGGAACAGAATTCCCTCCATCAGAGAGGGCTGTGCATGTCCAGCACCAGCACCTCACTATCTGCAAACAGGGACTGGGCCACTCAAGTTGAGCAAATCTATGCATTTGTCAGCCTTCACGGCTAAGGTCTTTTTCAAACTATCACATGCACAGCCATTGACACAAATTATGATCCTTGAACGCCTCTTGGAGAGTATTAGCACAGCACCTCTTCCAGCTCCTATAGATATCCTTTTTTTTCCTCAAGTGTTTCATACCTGGGTTTGCTGAAAGTTTCAGCTCTCTGTGTAAGGTGGAGTTGAGCTGTGGTTACAGGAAGGAGATCCCAACCTGTAGATTACCTTCCAAGCTAAAAGAAAAATGAGGAATAAAAAAACCCAGAAAAAACAAAGTAAAAGAATGGGTATTAAACAATACAGCACCTGGGAATCAAGCTACAGTGCAGCAAAGCTCAGAAATCTATGCTGATCACTAGCCCGTGAGCATTTGTAGAGAGAGGTATGTCAGTTATTGAGCGGATCAAGCCTGTTAGGGAAGGATGCAAGGCAAACAACACTAAAACTGGCATGTTTGAGACCAGCAGAGATTTTTAGTCTGAATAAAAATCGAAAGGAACAATTTAAGATGTAATATTTATGTCCTGAGCTCATGACAATCTTTCAGAGCTTTACAGATTTGTTGTATTCTAAACTCTACTCAGTATAATGATTGCATTTCTGTTACTGTACAGCCTCAATTATTTTGTTTCTTTTTCTAACATTGTTAACAGCACTGTCTTTTTATAAGTTTAATTCTATTTTCTTCTTTTATTACCAAAACTAATGACCACTATTTTTAAGCTGTACTTTCAGAAAAAACAAACATCAGTCAAACACTTTTCAAGTACATGGCTAACATGCTTTTTATGTGGTTAATCTGGGAATAAAGTGGCAACAGACCAGCCTCTCAGGGCAGGAGAAAGGAACGTTGTATGTTATTGATGAGGTAAAATAAGAGGGTCTCCTTATTCCATACGCTCACTTTTTGTCCTATACCCTTTCTACAGCTTTTTCTCCTCCCCAGGGTTTTTGGCAGAAATGTAGGCTTTGATCTTGAAAAGTGCTTTTAGTTAAGTACAGATGTGTGAAGAGTGGTCAGTGGATGGCTGACTTGGAGTATCACACTGTGGGCTCTGAAATGGCAGCTATGATTGTGCAAATAAGTGGTCATTATCCTTCCATGACGTTATGTAGAACATTTAGGCACCGTGCAATATTAAACAGATTATAACCTTTCATCCAAGCCACAGAAGTTAATGGATGCAAGTGGTTGCACACACACAAATTCAGAAATAATTTGGTCATTTGAGTTTTTGCTTACATTGAGTTTCCTTCAGTACTATAGCAACTTCTCAGATTTGTAGACCAAAATTGTATTTCCTTTGCTATTGTATTCTTGTCTAGTTGTTGCTTTCTAATAAAGGGGCTATGATGCCAGTGAGTGGTGAAGTATACAAAACTTCTTGGTAGAAATTATTTCCTTTCTCTTAATAGTACCCTTTAGACAGAAATGCTGTTTAGCTAGACAGCTAGCAAACTTGAACCTTCTCTCATGCTTCCCCCAGCTGACTTTTATAGGTATATGACCTGATTTTTTCCTTATCTAACTTTTTGTGGCCAGACAATACCATGGTTTAATAGTGGGGCTTTTACAGTTTAAAATTGTTATGACTTATATTGATGCTCTTTATATAAAATCGTATAGTCTGGGGACTAGTTAACAGCTGACCTAAATCTAAAGAAACTCATTCTGGAAAATTTAAAGTCATTTAGTAAGGTCTTCTACTCTCTAGAATATATTTTTCTCACATAGACTTCCGTTTTCTTACAAATAGGAATCTTCTCAGAAAGGTGTGCTAAAGTGTTAGGCCTGAGATTAATCTACAATTCCAAATATAGCAGCCTAATACTTCTTGAGTTAATTTGGGGTCATCCATGCTTGGAGGTATTGTATCCTAGAAAAAGATGATAAAACTCTCTTAAAAGGTACATAGACTTGCTCTTCTGTGTTTCGTGTATGCCCAGTTTAAAACCTCCAGCAGGTAAGGTGTGGAATATTAACCTCACAGGATGCCAGTGGGACTTGGCAGGGGGGTGGTGGTGATGGTAAATACAGTTGTGAGTTGCATTTCATGTCCTTGTTAGCCTTGTTGCTTCCAGCTGAATTTTGTTCCAGACATCCTTCTCCTACTTAGGATTTCCATTTAAAAAAAAAACAAACAAACTTGCCAGTAAACTGCAAACAGTTAAAAAGGAATTACAGCAGCGTGGTAGTTTTTTTTGACCATTTGTGATAGATTGAAAGCCTAGTCAAAGCTTGTTTCACTCAAGTCATCCATACAAATACCAACAGGACTTCAGCTGCAAGCCAAACTTTATCATTCCCTGGCTTTCTTCAGGTTGGAGAAATAGAGTAGTTCAGCTCCCCACTCATGGAAATGACTACGGTCAATGGAGGTGCAACAGGGAGGGGTACATCTTCACAGCACAATTCAATGTCACGTAGAGATTGAGGTTACCTGTGGTCTTGGCTGCAGGCAGACCATGTACGGTCCGGGTATGGCACTAACTTGCTGTGCCAAAGAGGCAGTGCTACCGTGGCCGTATGGCTTCTTGGACTTGGTTATCTTGCATGTTTATATGTGGTAGAGCATAGCACTATACAGGTATTCACGCCTCTGGCTCAAGAGAGTGCATCCGTTCAATGTGTAAAAGCTGTTTCCTGTCAGTGCCTGTTTCTACTGGAGTTTAGTGACATAGGCTACGTCCTAAAAGCTTTTTTCTCAGGAACGAGCTAAGATCACCTCCAGACCCTACTGGACTCAGGGGGTACGTTAGTCACTAGGGATGAGGACAAGGCTGAGGTCCTTAATGCCTTCCTCGCCTCAGTCTTTAATAATAAGGTCAGTAGTTCCCAGGTGAGCTGGCCTTCGGTGTCTGAGTGCAGGGAGGGAGAGCAAATCGAAGCTCCTGTAATCCAAGAGGAACGGGTCAAGGATCTGCTCCTCCGGCTGGATGCCCACAAGTCTATGGGGCCTGATGGTATCCACCCGAGAGTCCTGAGAGAGCTGGCGGATGTCATTGCCAAACTCCTGTCCATTATCTTAGGGCAGTCTTGGCTCACTGGGGAAGTTCCGC